CCCCCCCCCCCCCCCCCCCGCAAACAGAAAGGTTTCATGTAAGCAGAACTAAGTGCATTCCAGGTGGTTGGTCTCCACCTTTATCTGGGTCACTGCTATGCCAGCAGGAGCTCGATTTACCTCAAACAGTTTGCATCTGATTACAAATGTTAAAAGAAAACAGCATAAAAGTGAATAAAATGTGATGTGTTTCTATTTACAACATGCTGCTTTGATGCATTTGTCAGCTCAACAGAAGACTTGGTCAGTTTAGCTGAGATAGACAGAAAAACAAAAAATGGAGCAGAGAAGCAACAGAGTTTAGATGTTTTCGTGCAAAATAATAGATTATTTCACAAGCACACAAACAACAGGATTCCCTGTTGTCTTGGTGCCTCTTATGTTCCTCATATCAACATCTGCAAGTATCTTCATGTTATTTTACAAATATTTTCCCTTCTAGATTGATTGTAAAATGGTCCCACATGATGTAGAATCCTGGATACTTGGTTAAATGCAACACAGGCTGAGAGATTAGTTAATCTCTTCAATGCTAAAGGAAAAATGGTGGAAAAACAGAAAGTATTATGAGGGTTAGGAGTCCAACCTGACCAGACAAACCACAGTAATCCCAGCTGGATTCACTTTGAGTTGAGTATCCTTCATCAGTCATAAAGCTCTGCATTAATGAGGCTTTAATGGGGATCTTTAAGACATCTACCTCACTGATTTACAGATTTATGTCAGTCCTTATTTATCAAGTTAACAATGCAATAAAATAAGACTTTTACAAACATATGTACAAAATATAAAATCAAACTTTACCCATAAAACACCTTTTATACAGTGGTGTGTAACACAAAAAGCTTTAAAGCAAAAAAAAAAAAAAAAATGCAAATATGAAAATAATAATAACAAATAAATAAATAAATAAGAGCCAGAAACATTTTAAACAGTAGAAAGTTATAAAGGGATTAAACTGTTGTGACTATAACATTAAGGGACAGCAGGAAATGAGAAAACACATTGTTTATTACTAAGAAATGTTGAGGGCAGATGAAAAAGTAAAAAGTATCATGAAAACATGATTCTAAAATCCTAGGATTAATTAAACCAAGACACTAAAAAGAAGAGAAAAAGGAATTAGATGGAGGATAACATAAAATAAAAGTTGTTTTCCCAAATAATAATAAAAAACTAATTAAAATATGTTCATTTATAATTCAAGCATGAGTCAAACTAAAATTACAATGCAACTTTAAAATTAACCCAAGTCAAGTTGTGAATAAATCATTTGCCTGAAATCCAACAAATTGGTCTTGAGTTAGCTTTTAAAAACTCTCTCAACAAACACTTCACTAACACTTTTCTGTTTGAGACATTTTATGGTAAATATGCAAAAACGTGGATTTCAAGTAGACACTAGGCAAAATTTAAAAAATTGACTCTTTAGTGTGATAAAAATAAATGTTTAAAAAACAGCTTTTAAAGAGTTGTGTCTCTGTGGGCCCAGTGCTGCCCTCTAGTGGTCATCTGTCACATGACTGCAGCTCCTAAGGGTTAACAGAGGATTTTCCTGTCGCTGCACTGGGGCCGCCTTGTAATGGTGTTAGTGCAGCCTGGTGGCTTTCACTTTGCACCAAGGTCAAACACAAGATGAAGAGGTTCCTGGCGCTCCGATGACAAATCAGAGGAGAAGAAACATGCAGCAGCGTTTAAACTCTGCGCCGCTCACCCACCGTCATAAATATAACACAAGCCTGAATGAAGTAGCTGCATCTTGTTGCACACACACACAAACACACACTCACATCCCTCTGTGTTTCTGTCAACTCGGCACATTTCCCAGGCAGCCTGCACAGCTGAGTGCACAACATCACACTGACACACGCACACTCATGCACACACAGGGTGACCTACAAGTGTCCAAAGCACACAAGTGTGCATCAGTCGCTGCTGCTTTGGATCAAAAATTAAATTGTAGTTTGCACCTTTTTTTTTCTCCCCTCTCTTTCGTTTCTGTGCACCATTTTTCTTTGACTTTCTAATTCTTTGTTTTTTAAAGACACACGTAAGTCTGATGGTTCGGCTTTGGCAGAGTATTTAATCTTTAATAAGCATATAGAACAGCTTTAATGCTGCAAAAGGACTTTGAAATGCATACCAAGTTGATACTGGGAAGCAGACAGAGACACAAAGAGAGCCTGATGCTGAGATTTAAAACCAGTCAGTGTTATTTTATTGTTCTGTTTTTAAGGTAGAATAACACGTGCATTTATTCTTACGTGCACATTTTTTAGTCTTAGCATTGTTGATCATTCAGCCATTCAAATAAAAGCATGAAGTCCAAGCAGTTCTTAAAGCATTTCAGCCCAGAGTTCTAGCTGAAGATCATTTTATGTTGAGAAAAGAGTTGTAGCCATTTTGCTTAATCTTTGGTAGCACAACCTCATGCAGTTTTATGAGATCTCATGCTCAGAGAATGACTCTCAGCTACTACCACGTTGAAATTTAGCACATTATCTATAAAACTGAGTGAGTTATATCCATTTGTGTGTTCTCTAAAGTCACCAAACTGTGACAGGCGTTGTAATTTTGATTTCTGCAGACATTAATCAGTTTAAGATGTACATGCATTCACTTTGTTTCCCATATTTCTTTAAGATCCATTCAGTGGTTCATGAAATATTTTGCTAACAGACACACAGGGCTGACTACAACAGTAAAAGCAGAAGTTTTAAACAAAAATCCTGCACAACAGGTGCAAGAATAATGTGATGTGAATGATTCTCAGCCAAATTTTACTGCAATATCTGTAAAATAGAGTTGCATCATTTTCTGTTTACAGTTATCAGTGGCAGTCATTATAAATTAGATTGGCTCCAAAACGTATTTGTTTGAAGAGGTTCGCCAATTGATTTTTTCCTACAAGTTTCATTAAAATCCATTTAATGGTTTATGAGATATTTTGCTAACAGAAACACAAATACAGGCAAAAACGTTATGTTGACCATCAAGAAATAAAGAGCTTTTTTTTTACTTTTGCAGATTCTTACGGTCTACAAAAAATACTTTTTCTCAGCCGTTCAATCTACTAACACACAATTGACTGAACATATTAAACTCTTGGAGTTTTCAAGGAAAATTCTGCTCTGGTGGAGCTGCTTGCTTCAAGACTGCAGCTGAAACTTTCAGTCTGCGCCCACAGGATTTTCTCAGTCAACCTGTCTGTAAATATAGTCCCGAGAAACTCTTGATCATGCTTCAAAAACTTTACTTATGCTCTATAAAACAAGAAACACACTCACACACGCACTTGGAGAGCACAGGGATATAATATTTATAACGCAGCCTTTTCCACATCGCACCATCTTTCCACCATCCTCCCATTCTCACTGTTTTCTTTCCCTTGTAGTTAATTAAATTCAAAATGTTAAATTAGACTCGAAGCAGCGCGCTGACGAAACGCCTAACCACCATCACCGCATCAAACAAAGCGCTCTCTTTCTGTCTCCTCTTTCCCTGGTATCCCAGCCCCCTCCATCCCTTCACCTCGTCATGTTATCGATCAACATCTGAGCTTTTCTCAGAACTGCATCGCAAAATTATATTACCAGCAACAGTATCTCCTCTGCTGTCTGCATCTTAATGCTCGCCGAGTGCTAATTGAAATGGAGAGCTATTGATCCGGAGCTCAGCAGGAGTTGTGGCTTATTAGCTACCAGTCTCTCCTTGTGTCTGCTGGAGTTCAAGCCTGTTGAGCAGCAGCTGATAATAGAAATAATTAATGGCCTAGATTTCCTTGAAGGAATGCATATCGCCCGCTGCCTTTCGTGGAAGAGTTTTAGACTAAAATAATTTGTTGCTGAAATTAACAGCTTCCGTTGACCCTCGAAAAGACCATTATGTGTATCCCCGTGCGAGAACACACACGATCTGTCAGCTCTTGCAATATGTGTTGTGAACTAGAGAAATTGCATTTCCTGTGAAAATGCTTATTGCAGAAGAACTTGCTGAAAAACAGCTGAAATTAACTAAAACAAATTTCAAATGTAGCTGAAATGGAAGAACAAGCCTACATTTTCAGAAGAAAGCAGAAATTCAATTCAATTCAGTTTATTTATATAGCACCAAATCACAACAAAGTTGTCTCAGGGCACTTTACAGAAACATTCACATACATAAAAGCCAATTAGTAAAGTTCTGTATCTAAGGAATCCAGCAGACAAGTAGAATCTTGGCTTCGTTGCAGTCTCCCATCCTGAGCAAGCACAGTGGCAACAGTGGAAAGGAAAAACTCCCTTTGAAAAGGAAGAAACCTCCAGCAGAACCAGGCTCAGGACAAGTGGCCATCTGCTTTGACCGGCTGGTTGAGAGGACAGGAAGGAGAGACAGACGAACACAGAATGGTAGGTCCAGGTATAGGTCCAGGTGTACCTGAAAGACAAAAAAACACATGTTAAGGATAGAAAAAATAATTACAAATACAAAACAGGTTGAGCAGAGTAAGTAAAGACAG